ATGTGTGTGAAAGGATGAATGTGGCACGTAGTGTAAAAGTGCTTTGAGTGGTCGGAAGACTAGAAAGAGGCGCTATACAAGTACAGGTCCATTTACCATTTACCATTTATAACATATTTATTCTTCGTTCTATGTTCACCTATCCATAACTGAAGGATACTTTCAATAAAACATTAACTTACTTTCTCATACCAGTTGAGTACAACAGACAACATGTTATAATTATCATGATACATGTTAAGGTACTTAGTACTCACACAATCACAATCACTCATACAAAAACAATTGTGTTTTCTCACGTAAAAAATAAAATAAATTTAGTGACTATATTAGATTAAATTATTTTGTGTATATTATTTTATGTAATTTCTTAATTATTAGCTTAAACCTACTCTTAAATGTGAGAGGGTGTCTGCCTCCTAAACCCAAACAACCATCCTGCTCTCATTTATATGACATCTGGTTTTCCGTCTCTGAATCCATTTGAATGCTGAGCTACAACAGGTCTTAGACGATGACAAAAACAACACACCCATGTCACACACACCCACAACAAGTGTGTAGGTTATAACTGCAGACTGAAACAAAACTACCAGCGCACTCTTCTCAATAAAAAAAGCAAGAGTTTGAGGGACAAAAACTAAATGCACTATGTATCCATACACATGACCTAAATCTATTTCATTAACAGCAAATCACTGTATTTTGCCAGTTCGCATTATTTGCACCATATGAATCCCATATTCCAGCCTGCACTTGCCACATTAAGGAAAAACCTTAATAAACAAGTATAGGCCCAGCTGGCTTGGTGCATTGTCAGGGGAATGTAAGCAGTGGGAGAATAGAGTTTGTCATTTGGCCTGGGGGTAGTGGTAGAGGATGAGGTTAAATTGACAGGGCTCTTCATCTGGGGAGTAGGAATGTACATGTACACGTTTTATGACAACTTTCCAGGAAGATTTTGAGAAATGTCACTGTACTCATAGCCCTTCTCACACCTAACACTCCAGTGGGGAAAATTCTGAAATGTTATAGACCACAGTCTAGGCATAAGGATGGCCTAAATTAATTATACTTTGTGTATACAGTATACTACTGTCACCAAACTTTGCTTTGGTTTTCTTGGAGGTGGAGGTGGAACAAGGGGGAGACTATGCACGCTGAGGGGGAAACCAAGACTTGGAGCCACTGCCTGTACCTGCTGTTGATACTGTCGACAAGTCTAGACCCTCAACAAGATTACCCCGGTGGAGAGGTTGACATGGGGAAAGTAGTCTCTGTAAGATAGATAGTATTGGAGAATGGATCTGTAAATGTAACAATAAAATGAAAATATTCAAATTTTCTTAACATAAAATGACATTACAGACTTTCAGCATTAACATTGTCCCCACAGTGACCTTCTCAGCCCATCACTCACTTCAGTTTGCCACTCCCAGTGACTGGAATGAGTTGCAAAAGCAACTAAAACCGCACACCTTCATTTCGTTACCCTCCTTTACTAACTTTACAAACAGGTTTGTGATCACTGCAACTGCTTTTGAACACAATACTTATTAACTGTTGTGTACATACTGTATATATTTGCAGATTTAACTCTACTATTATATATATTTTTTGCACTAGCTGTATATTTGTTTTAATTGTTGTATCGACCTGTCTCCTGTTGCTGCCTCTTGCCTAGGTCGTCATTGTAAATGACAATGATGACTCATTACTCGACTCAACAAATACAGACTGTGAAAGATCTTAGTGTGCGACCCCTGTTGCTGTAATGTAGTAGGGAACCACGACTTCAAGACAGGCAGCTTTTACTTTGAAGGTGCAGATAAATTAAACTTAATGCAACAAACAAACTGTAATAAATATCTATATCTGTATTATCTTTAAAACTTGATTCATACATGCATACTTACAGTATGTTAGCTCAGTCACTGTAATGTTATTATAATTTAAGCCAAAAAACTAATCCAGACACAGGGAAAATAGATGTAGGTATTTTACAGAGAACCAGCTCATTCATGGTTCATTCATACCACACTAGTAATACTAGTACATACTATTACTGTGATGACTTCCATATTGGTGTGTGGTGTCTTAGGCGCAGGCAGAGGAGGACTGATGTTGTAATGAAGCACATGGCTGCACATGGCTTGCACGGTTCCTTTGACATTTTCACTTCATCTGGGGAGGATGAGCCAAAGGGCCAAGGTGCTGAAGACAAATGAAGTGTCATCGAGGAAGCTGTGAGATGGAAATCAGAGAAATAATACCCCTCTTACACACACACACACACACACACACACAGAGAGCATGGTGTTAAGTTGCAGCAGGGGCAATCTTTCTGCTCTGTGGTAAAACTATGTACTTGGTGTATGTATTTACCAGTTGGAAAAAATATATATTGTAAAGTTTGTTGATATTTGAATATCAAATGAATTAGCTGTAACTTTATTGGAGTGACTGCTTGGGGAATTGACGTTTTGGGACTCATCGACAGGAGGAGGCAGGCTTGAACCACCAACCCTGCGATTAGTAGATGACCCGTTCTACCTGCCACAGGCACCATATAATATTTGTTGCATTACAGTAACACCATCCAGGGGTGACATTGTACATTCAAACAAAAAGATACATAAGAAAACCAATACATCTCTTTACTATTTGTGGTTTTTGGAAAGCCCTTCATTTTACACCATTATCCCATCAGGCACTTGTACAGGTAGGACATAGGGCTGTGTATTGGCAAGAATCTGGTGATATAATATTTATCACAACACAGGGGTTCCGATTAAATACATTGGCGAAATATTGCGATTTAAAAAAATCGAATTTAAAACTATATTGATACCTTGCTATGTACAGTAGATGGTGTGTAGATATTCAATACATAAAGAAAGTTCACCAGATGGGTGAGTAATCTGGAACGTTAGCAAAAGCTCAGCATCAGCTATCAAA